TCTAGGAACGCATGCGGCGGCGGAGTCCATGGCAGAAAGTGCTCAGACCCAAGTCGCAACCAAGCTTAGGGATGACAAGTAAAGAAAGAAAAGCAAGACAGGAGCAGGAAAAGATGGGGAATTGGCGAGAGACCAAAAGAGAAAAGCTGGGAGGAGAAGGAAGAGAGGAATGAAGTGCACGCTGACACGCCATATTAGAGGAGCCAAAATAATTTCACAGTCAAAACACAGTAATCATATTCGCCTAGTCTAAAAAACCTAAAGGTATTGACTTGCATTAACCACCGGCTTCTTGGCCAATCCCCCTTAGTGGGTGAGAGCCACAAAAGAAAGGAACAAGCAAGCAAGCAAGCATGCGCACGGTAGAAGCTTGGCGGGGACGACGGAGAAGACGGCAGATGTTCGAGGCAGCCTGGGTCCTGGACTGTAGCGCGTCGAGAGCCGCCCGAGTTTGTACCTCGGCGAGCTACCGTTTTTGTGGCTCCAGTCGTCCAGCTACGGGCGATGCAGTGAGCGGCTGGCACAGGTCAGCGTAACGCCGCCGACCTTCAAAGAACCTAGGCTTGTGGACACCCGTCTGCAACGGTAACGGCACACGAGCCAGACCAGTTTAGGAGGTGCCCGGAGTTCCTGCCGGCACCAAGTTTCCCGCACGACTGGGAACGACGCCACAACTTGGACTAAGTGCTCTTCCACACCAGCAGAATCAACAACATTCACGGACGCGGTGAGCGACGCTCGGGTGCCAGTGGCCGACACTTAACATCCTGTCCGTCATAGTGACGTGAGTTACTGAGTGGGATGGTATGGACGCGCGTGGGATTTGGCTATAGAATAGAAATGGTACAATATTATTACGCACTGGGGACATAGCTATTAATTGATGGCTTTATTTTTATGTGTGTAATCATATATGTTTGTGTTTGAGTGTGTAATGAAGGGTGTATTTGTACCACACCCCGTGTCCCCTTGCGTCCATTCCGCTTGACTTAAGCATACCAAGCCGGTCGACATTTCGTGACATGACGAGCCTGCCCAGGATTCATTTACATTCGTATCGTGCCCTGGACTGCCTTGAACGGCGGGATGAGCCTAGAATGGTTACTGGCGTCTGGACATGCTGCGGGTTTATCTCCGTAAGCATTATTGACGTTTACCGCCAGGAGCAAAAGCGATGAAAAGAAGAACGTGCTAAGGCACGGGCGACTGCAAAAGGGCATGCGGAGAGGCTAAGGCAGCGGATGAACGTGCATATATGCACTTGATCAAGGAAAAGGAGATGATAGAGGAGAAGCTGCAGTTACTTGCTCTTCACAGTACTGAAAACTCTAGACAACAGCATATTGAACAGGAGACGAGTGAAAGGACAGCTTGAACTTGAAGCTGGTGATGAGAAAAAGCAGCTGAAACTAGGAAAAGACAGCTAGCGGCAGCACCTTATGCAGGCAAAATGTAAATATATACAGTGGGACAAGAAGGAGCGCAAACCCAACGCATATGTGCGTTCTACAAATGGTCTTTGCGAGACGTAGCTCCTATCGCTTTGTAAACTTAACGTTGAACCTTTTCACTGCCTTACGTAGGAGCCGGCTTCCCAAAAAGAAAATGACATGAGATGGCAAGGGGGAGAAGATTGTTATTTGAGCAGTGAAGAGCCTGGCGCTTTGGCTGTGGCAGCTCAGGTTTTTTAAGAACCTTCATTTAAAAGTATGCGTCTGTTAAAACGTCGAGAGACAAGGGGCGGCATTCTTGAACATAAAGGCATTGTTCAGACGCTCGTGTCTCAGTGCGCAGGGAGGCAATGCCTCATGTTTGGTTGGAACTTTTGCGGCACAGTGGCTAAGAATTCTGTTGAACTCCTTGATGTCCTTATGCGATGTTTTAGACTCTAGTGTATCCCAACACGCTTTTAAGCGTCTTCCTTGCACGTGCCTTGTCAGCGAGTGACAACTTTCTTTCGGATGATATGCGACGCAATAACATGAGCATTGAGTTCATGACTGGATGCTGTCTTAAGAAACTTGACATTGGACAACGACATTGATTAGTTGGTAGAGATTGAACTGGTTGTGAACGTGCCTTTCAGGTGCTTTGTGATCTGATGTACGTTGCTATCGAACAGTTCTTTGGTGTATCCTTGAAACTGTTCTTTCTTACAATGTTAATAGTTTATTGATTGTATTTGAGCTGGATTGGGTGATCACATGACTACCAGAGCAAAAGACTGGTGTTCTTAGTGAATATTCAAGTTGTTGTTCAATATCAACAGTGTGCAGAGGAAGGTCATTGAAACACAAAGTGCTCGGGACGTCCACTGAAGTATTGGTGATGTGCAGTGAAGTGTTCACGGCGCGCACTCAATATTTAGTGACGTACAATGCAGCGGTGACGTGCGTGGTGACAAAGTGTGTTGTGGTGAAGCGCGGTGCTGGTGTAGCTAAGCGTCGGCTATACGTCCAATGAGGTGAGGTATGACGTGAAATGTGGTGCCCGTGTGAAGAAAGGTTTTAAGGAGCAAGAACTCGAGAACGTGTGGGCTATCTTGTCAGGGATGACAAGTAAACAAAGAAAAACAAGACGGGTGCAAGACAAGATGATGAATGAGTGAGAGGCTGAAAGAGAAAAGCTGGAAGGAGAACGAGGAGAAGGAAAAAGTACACGTGGAGACGCCATTATTGGAGGAGCGTGCGCACGGAAGAAGCTTGGCGTGGACGACGGAGAAGATGACAGATGTTCGAGGCAGCCTGGGTCCTGCCCCAGGCCTGCAACGCGTCGAGAGCCACCCAAGTTTGTACCTCGGCGAGCTACCGTGTTCGTGGCTCCGGTCGTCCAGCTGGCAGGCCATGCAGCGAGTGGCTGGGACAGGTCAGCGTACCGCCGCCGACCTTCAAAAAACCCAGGCTCGTGAACACCCGTCTGCAACGTAACGGCGCACGAGCCAGACCAATCAAGGAGATGCCCGGAATCAACATATTTGCACAGCGCAAGATTAGGCGTAGTTACAACGTAACTACTCGTAGTCTTGCGCTGTGCAAATATGTTGATTCCCAATCACCAACTAGCCCAAGCAACTGTCTTATCAAGAGATTCCCGGAGTTCCTGCCGGCACCAACAGTTTCCCCCGCGAATAGGAACGACGCCATCGCTTGGACAGAGTGCTCTTCCACACCAGCAGAATCAACAGCATTCACGGACGCAGTGAGCGACGCTTGGGTGTCAGCGGCCGTCAGTTTACATCCCGTCCGTCATAGCGACACGAGTTAGTGAGTGGGATGATATGGACGCGGGTGGGATTTGGCTAGAACAAAAATGGTACAATATTATTTCGCTCTGAGGACATATATGTCCCCATAGGTTTGAATAGTGGCTTCATATTTCCGTGTGTAATAATTTATGTTTGTGTTTGAGTGTGTTGAAGGGTGTTTTTGTGCCACACCCCGTGTCGCCTTCTTGCATCCATTCCGCTTGACTCAAACATACCGAGCCGGGCGACAACATATCGTGACAAGTATATACAAAGCTTGTAATTAAACCAAATTATAACGTGATTTTCCACACCGACAAGCTACTAAGTATTATCTATGTACGTCGTTGCTTCTCTGAACGTAGAAAATAGGGATTCGGAGAAAACATTACTTTAAGCAGCCAGCCTTGGTAAGTATGCAGCCACTGCCTCTGCTCATTCCTTGGCGAAGCATGACACGTCTCGCATTCTCGCAGGGACGTTTTTTAACACGTGTTTTAGTCTAAAGTTCACAAAGACATCAGTTACGTATTTCAGTCATGAATATGACGTTGATAAAATGCACGGCACCAAACGAGACAGAAAAAAAAAAACGCCAAGCCTGCGCGGAAGGGGCAGCACAGTTACAGCGAAAGCGAGAACAGCATTTTTTGTACACTGATTACGTAACTACTGCAAGCACACTTGCTTGATACACACTAGGTAATTGTTAATATATTTATTTGGGTGGTAGGCCGGCATTCGCTATGCTATTTTTCGTCATTCTACTGGGAAGCGTGGTATGCTCTAAACACTTGCAAGGAATTCTGTGCCATTTGTTCATGCAGTAACTAACCACGATGAAGAATTATGGGTGAAGTGAGTACGCGCCACAGATAATACAGGAACAAGAACAAGCTTTTGTAATGGGTTAGAGCCTTGGATGACCCCCTCGTTACGCTATTCGCATTGTGCGATGACTGGTTGTTCTTTCGCTGTTTTAAAACGATTTATACGTATTAACGCAATTGCTTTCCCGACATCAAGCCTGCCTAAGGCAATTTTGAGAAGTCACAAGCACTGGTGTAGCTCAGTGCTAGAATACTGGGTTGGCATCCAGCGGACCCGGGTTTAAGCCCCACTGGTGCTGGGTCAAGCCTGCCTAAAGCAACTTTGACATAAAGTTACGAGAACCGGCGTAACTCCGGGGTAGAATACTGAGCTGCACCTAGGGGACCTGGGTTCGAGCCCTACTGTGTCATTGGTGCTAGTTTATTTTTTCTAACTTTGCGCGATGTGGTTACGGACACCGGCGGCGGCGGTGGACAACTGCGTGTTTCCCGAGTTGTGATCTCATAACAGCTTTCATTGTAAAACTTTTGAAAAAATATTCCCTCGCCTGGAATCGAACTTCTGATTCCTTGGCCCGTGATCGCAGGAGCCCGACGCTCTACGGACTGTTTACGTACGGTAGCACTATACTTAATCAATGCTCGCCTTTTCTGCAGGCAGCTGCTTTTATCTACAGCGAGCAGTGTTAAAACATACCACGAGCCGGGATGATACTTCATATCAACCCGGCTCCGCCACCTCGATTCCGTGTTGACCACACACTTGTGGTGCTATTCTTGACATACTAGGAACAACGCAAAACAGCGCCTGGTCAATTTGTTCTCTCGCGCACTACTTCAAGTGTCACTGCTTTATGTCTAGCCTGATAAAGTACCTGTTTAACCTTGTTTTCTTCCCTGCCTTTTTTTTTTCGCGCAGAGCGGGGTGCTTTCTTGCGGTGGTCGCTGCTGCTACTCGCGATGGCGGCCCTGGCAGCGCTGCTCTTGGTGACGTCCGTGGAAGGCCGAAGCGCCAAGATGCAGTGGCCGCGGTTCGCGTACTGCATCAGCCGGAAAGCGGGCCCATTGCTGGCTACGCCCAGTGGACGCTGTGCCTCCAGAAAGATGCGCGGACAGTTCAATGCCATGAAAGCAGCAAACTGCGTGAATTGCGACAAGTACGAACCACCGCAACCTTGAGTTGAAATAAGTGTTTGGGCATTTTAGCAGTTGTATGGTAGACTCGGACCTTCCTACGGGGCCGAAAACTGGAGGCTCATACGATTAAGTAGAGCGTTCAACTTCATTCGGGAATGAGTCGGTGATCCATGGAGAGGAAAATGAAAGCAACCAGTCTTTTGTGCATTGACGTGTGGCGACTCAAAAGCTAAAACCTTCTTCTTCTTCTTCTTCTTCTTCTTCTTCTTCTTCTTCTTCTTCTTCTTCTTCTTCTTCTTCTTCTTCTTCTTCTTCTTCTTCTTCTTCTTCTTCTTCTTCTTCTTCTTCTTCTTCTTCTTCTTCTTCTTCTTTCTCTTTTTCTTCTTCTTCTTCTTTCGACGTGCTCATCCCCACCCTCCGAAAGCTTTCGGCGCCCCTCCCGTGGTTTCGCGTTGCCTTCAGAGTAAGCTCACCCTTGATTAGGCGGCGATGTCGGGTGATGACGTCACAATGTTTTGTGATTTGTGACGCTATTAAAGACAGTTTTTTTCCCCATCGGTCATATTGACGCCGAAGCTCAACTTTCACGTTTGACGACACCTATTGCTTTCTTCTCCCTAATAGGTGTAACCTTAAATGGGCCTGCGACCCTTTTTTGAGCATGGTTGGAAAATGCTGCTAACGAGTAGTAATGGTTTCCGAGGGGTAAATAATATGTAAGTAATATTATACGTAGTAATATATACGTAGTAAAAACAGCAAGAAGTAAACCGCAACAAGAATTCACACAAGACAGCGCTTCACACAGCGCTTGTCCTGTATGGTTTTTTTTGTACGTGTTTACTTTGCACTGTCTTTTAACTACGGATACCTATCTGCTGGCTCGCATCCACTTTCTTGTAAAAAACAATACAGCGCAGCATGCAGCCTGGAATGTGCAATTAATTCTGTAGGTCAGTTAGAAATCACTCCCGCTTTTCTCGACAAATGATGCCAGAAACGCAAATGACCACCCCACAAATCCAGACTCCACGGCCAGTGGTTGATTTGAGCATGGTGGGCTGCGTAGCTATAGCGACTGCCGCGAGATGTCGCCACGCGCACGATAGCGCTCACACCGAGAGTACGACGGGTATTTGAAGGAAACAAATAAGAAAAAGGGCTCAAGTTCATGCAGTATGCTGACGAAAGCAAGTAAGTTCTTGCTCCCTTTTAGCCCCCTCCCTCTCTACGCAGCTTTCAGTGCGCTCGGTAGTAGAAAAGGAGAAAGAAAATGTGCGTATGGCAAATCCTTGTAACTGCGCTCGTATGGTCACGGATTCTGAACATTTCTGCGGCGGTTGATTTGTGAGGCAGTAAACTGCTCTTATGAAGCCATTCAATAACAACTTTAAAGTGTTGCAGGGCTCCTTTAAGGGAGGAAAATGAAGCACAATGCTGTGATGAAGGCTGCTCTCCCGTTCACTTTCTTGGTTATACGAGACCTACGCACGCGTACGAGATTTAACTGTGGTAATGTACACAGCTACACTCGTAGCCTGCAAGCGTATTACGTGTCCTCTCTTTCCTTCCTTTTTTATTGTTTCCCCTCCATTTGCAACTTCCCTCGTGTAGTGTATCAGACCCGGTAAAACGTGGTTAACCTTCCTGCCTTTACTTTCACTTTCTTTTTGCACTCGATGCCACGGAAGCGACTTGCATTTTCTTTCACCGATGACGTCACGTGCAACGTTGGTCACGTGAACATCAGCAGGAGGCTTCTGACGGCTTCTGACTCGCGGGCCGATACCTAAAGTTATAAAATCTGGCACAGTCGAGACCCTCGCTATGAAGCGAACGAGAAGAGGAATCGATCGGAAAACGCGTTCCGGGTAGGCGCATCTGTATCTGAAGCCAGACCCATTTTTCGCCTGACACAAAGAATATTAAACCAGTTTGATTCCCGCGGGTGCGTCCATCAAGAACGGCTGCCCGATTGATTCCCTTTCTCGTTCATTTCGTGAACAGTCTCGGCCTCGGGGGGGTTTGATGCGTTTGCGCAGGGTTCGATTCTTTGTTCCACTGTTGCCTGATTATAAAGCGCACGCTTGATGCGACGCCATCGAGCAAAAACGCTAGCTAACACCCATATGGTGAAGTGTTGTACATTTGCACAAATAGCCAAGGACGTGGTCGAATATTGTATATACGCAGCCGGTGTCTTTGCATGCTTACAAGAAGGATCCAGAAATGGCGCAACCATCGCCTGCAGTCTCAAATCGCATGCTGCTTCGCGATTCTCCGCTTCCTTTATGTTCTCCTCCTCCTCCTCCTCCTCTTCCTCTGTGAACTCCGAGCTGAAATATCAAGTTGCGCCGGCTCCTCCGGTTCGCGGGACGGTCCCTCGCTTCTGAACATTCTCACTATGCATTCCTGCCTCCATGTTGCCACACCTATTCTTGCACGCCAAAAATTATTAAACTTAGTTGATCCCCGTTAAGAAAAGCCCAATGTTTAGTCGGCCACTTGAATAAGACATAACAAAACAGGTACAACCGAACTTGGCACAACCACTTGTGCTGTGGGTTCAGATATACCGCCAGCGGCAAGTTGCCTCTTGGTCAGCTTTATTCTGCCTTGTCAAACATCATAATTTTTCTATTCAGATAAAAATTATGAGTAACTCCCTCTTTGCTTTGCATATTTTTTTTCTACTCGTCACATATTTCTAAAACTTTGCTTGGCAACTAACCTGTCGTCGGTACCGACAATTCAGCTTTGGCGAGGCTCATTCTTATCTTGCTTACGTGTTACATAAAGTGCGATCAGAGTCATAGTCATAGTCATAGGGCTAAGTAACTAACCAACCAAAAAATTAAACCAGTTTATTGTTTTGCTAAGTCTCTGTTATCTTGTTTCTCTGTCGGCGATCTCAGTGTCGATTACACCGTATATAAGGCGTCTTTTGATGCATCTAACATCGCTGCAAATAGTTAATCTGAACGCCCTGTCTTCCATCCAAGAAACAACTCTGTGACCGAAGATGAAGTTATAACAATGGAACTGCTTAGGCGTTTTATGAGGCCGTGTATCGCAGACAGAAAACTGCGCCTAAGTATGAAGTCAACAAGTAATGCCAAAATAACCCCACCCAAGCCTACGCGTGGCTATGGCGTCACCTCGTGAAGACAAATTAAGCTTAGTCAAGAGCAGTCAAGTCTGCATCCAAATGTTTAACTAGGCAAGTTGGTGTGCTTCCACCTTGAACGAATAAACAGTGCGACAATATGGTGGCTAGCGACAGAAGACGAGGACGAGAGGAGGAACGATAGACAACAGCGTTGACTGGTAATTATAACAATTTTTCAAAACGAAGCAGGAAAAATAGAGTCGATAAAAAACAACGAAAACAACCACCGCGCATGCTCAAGGTGACAAAAAGTAGCAAAAAAGGAAAACATGCATGTCTGATCAGACATGAACATGACGCAAACTACCCATGAGGTACGACACTTTTGCATCTGATAATGCCAACAAAGAAGAGAGACAGATGCAAGGAAAGGCCGGCAGGTTAACCAGACGCACGTCCGGCTTGTCACCCTGTGTACTAGAATAAAGGGGTAAAAGCTGAGACAAGAGATGGGAAGGGAAGACAGATACACAGAACCACGAGCTCACTTGGTGGATGACATGCAGTCTACAGGTGGTCGCTCAGATTTGCTGAGTTCAGGTACTCCACTATCACTTTAGTTGATTTCTGCGCTATCGAAGTGCAAGTGGAATATCCTAGAATGTGCTGTACTGAAAATGGTCCAAGTGGTGATTGAACCCGGGTCGTACTGAAAATAGTCTGACTGATAAACTTATGACCTCCCAGACATGCAGCACTTCGTTTCAAAATAACGTTAGTTCGGGTCATCGCTTCTTTTTGTCGTTCCTCTTGCGGTCCTCTCTGTCCGTTGCGCTGTTTATACATTCAAGATAGTTAAAGGGACACTAAAGAGAAACAATGAGTTGTTTTAAATTAATAAACTGCACTATGAGATTATTAACTGCACTATGCACTTATGTCCTAAGTTTCATTGTCATAAGTTCATTGTTAGCAGAAAAAATGAAGGTTAAAATTTCATATTTAATTTTTGTGCGTAACCTCTGCGCGTGACGAAAGAAATTCCAATTCCAATATATGTTTTGTATTTCCGCGGCCCTCGCTCAATGAAACTTTCTAAAACTTCGTATGCTAGGTCTATGACACCCACCAATTACAATTTATTACAATTTTATTGATTATAAGCTACATAGGACCCAATAGACGTCTTAAGAATTCTACGACGTCACAGTTTTTGGTGGGACAATCTCAAAGTGACGTCACCCACAGCTCCTTTTTGCGCGTTTTCTCGCTTACCAAGCGTTGTGTCATCGTAACAGTGCTGTTTTCGGGATTGTGAAAATGTACTTTACCAATACGCGAAAAGGCGTTTGGCTATTTATTTTATCTGTAAACCTGCTTGAGCCAAGTTACGCACAGTAAAGTCTAATAACGCGTGGCTAAATTAAGTGAACCTAATTAGCACTCATAAGCCCCAATTGAGACTATTTAGGCTACACCTGGATAAGCTATTCCTGCTAATGCCTTATTTTGCCCGACTTAATTGCAATTAAGTGCAAATATGTTTAACTAGACATACTTATGGTAAGCCCAACATATATATGGAGAGAAGGAATAAAACAAAAATATAGAGAAAGAAAGTGAGAAGGATAAAAACAGACAGAGAAATAAGGCGTAGCCTAGTCATATATAGTTTAGTGTCGCAAGAGGGTGTGGGAAAAGAAATGATAGTACTTTATAGTTATAATTGTTCGGGTTTAATGTCTCTAAACCACCATATGATAATGAGAGACGCCGTAGTGGAGGAATCCATAAATTTTGAGCACGGGGGGGGGGGGGGGTTAACGTGCAGCTAAATCTAAGTACACAGGCCTGAAGATTTCTCGCCTCCATCGAAACTGTGGCCGCCGTGGCCGGCATTCAATCCCGTGACCTGCGGGTCAGGAGCTGAGTGCCTTAGCAGGGCACCGTGGCAGGTTAAAATAAAAGATAGTGAGGATGAGGGAAATTAGAATGAGAAAGAGTAAAAGGATAGCAATGTATGCTACAGTACATCGAGATAGTGAGAAAGGAAAAAGAGGGCGAGAATTAGGGAAACAATAACACAGCCACCAGCTCCTCTGTTTGCACATTCTTCGCACGAGCAGTGCGTAGCTGCTCCAATTTTTTGTTTCTAAAATACTCGAGAGAGAGGGCAACCCCTACCTTGTTGTTTCTCTTCCGATGATATTTGTGTGTGTGTTTACACTTCCGTTCCTCCCTCTCTCATTCTTTTTTTCCTACTTTGCTGTCTCCCCTCACCCCTTCTCCAGTGCAGGGTAGTCAACCAGATGTTTGCTTTCCAGTAAACCTTCCCGCCTTTACGCATCTCATATTACTCTCTTCCAATGTTACAGGTATTTCCATTGCATGGCCAACTGGCTGGCGATTCACAAGTGCAAGGGACGGTTCAAACGGAAAGTTGCCACAGTCATCAGCTACTGCAGGGAGTACTCGCAGCGTGAACCCCCAGCTCAAAGACGTGGGGATGAGGCCGCAAACCGATATGGCCGGTCCGGAGGAAACTGCGCTGCGCGCTATTTACGACGAAACAAATGCGCCTACAAGCCGAAAACGAAGCAGTGCAAGTGGTGAACGCGGAAGTCTCTCGCCAGGGAAGACTGAGGCGACTCGCTTCTTCGTCCATAACAATGTGTGTTCCTGTCAGAACCCTCATAAATACGTTTGAGCAGAATAAACGAGGGAAAGAGCGTAAACGTATACCTGTAGGTCAACTTATCGGCGAGTCGGTTGACCATATTGTCGGGAAACAGTGCGAAAGACCAACACAGCAAATGCACACATACAACCACAGCTTGCGCTACACCTGTGGTATGCAGTGCGTGTGGAGAGGAAGAGGAAACTGCCGAACACTTGATAATGTTCTGTAAAGGGCTTCACCCGATAGTTCAGGATGATGGCGCAGAGTTTTTAAAAGCACTGGGGTTTAGAAACAGGGAGGGCAAAATAGACATTAAGTGGTTAGAATTAACTAGAAGGAGGTTATCTGATTGGTGGCTAAAGTCAAGGCACAAGTGAAAATTAAACCCTTCACTGCAAAGTACGAGTCCTCAACCTCACTATATAAAGGGAAAAAAATTAATCTAGTTTTTGGTTCACTAAATATTACGCCTTGGTGGCGTTAGCCACCACCCGATCTAAAGAGTACAGCCACATCAACCCATCCATCCATCCACACACACAACACCAGGTGTGGTTGCCTTTACCATGGTGTTTTCCAACGTAATTATACCAGTTGAGATTTATTTCAGGAATGACAGAAAGATCGAGCCCGCATAGTTCCTGTATCCTGCTATTCCGCGCATGTGGAAAAACGAAAGGAACGAGCATAAAAGGGCTCAGAGTCCTCCACCAGGGGGGCAACCTCAGTGCCTCCCCCCCCCCCCCAAATGGTCGAATCCGCAAAAAAACAAGCTCCGCCATTGAATTTAAAAATAACAATGAAGCCATGACTGCCATGCTTTACAACGACGGTCTGCGATCAGTTCCCGGCTTTTCGAAGGGTTTCTTATGAACCACGCTTTAAACAATGTGTAAAGAACTTTCCGTAACATTTTTCTGATAACTGATCAATAAAAGGAACGTAACACCAACTCATTATGTACACCATATACTAATGTGCTCTTTTTCTTTTCGGTTGGTAAGGTGCATAATACATTGTGAATGGAGGTATATACATTTGCGAAGACTTCGTATGGTTGTCTACACGTATTGCTTTACTTTCAATTGAAGTTATGAATGGGCACGTTGATTAGTTGGGCTGCTCTGTTGCTTTACTTGCACTAAATCATGGACATATTTGCATGCCGAATGCGCATAGGAATAAGAACCTATGTCATGAAATATCCTTTAGATCTTGCCCCTCTTTATTTGGTAGAAAGAGATACAATAAACGACCCCTTCAACTAAAAGATGAAAGCAAGCAGTTCTATGAATGCGACATCCGAGGTCGGTGGTCACCATCATCTTTAAAAAATCACGCACATCTCCCCGTAAAAGGAACCCCGAGTAGTATGTGGAGCGGCCATGAGTTTACTTGAGGTTCTTTAAGGAGATGCTCTTTATTCATCACGTAGACTTTAATGGTTGTGCACTGAACCGCTTTGTGAGCCCTCGACTACGCCACACTCATGCTCATGTCTCCATTCGTCCTACTACGCTGTGTAGGAGTAAGCGCTTTTATTATACCGGTGCAGAGCAGCGCCGCTGGGCACTCATACCAAAGCACGTCCCGGAGGGGAGCGAGTGCTCTACTACAGAGCCATCTAGTGGGAGCTCCGAGTACTAGCGCGGCTACGACGACGGACAAGGGACAAGCCCCGACCATAGGCTGCTTTGCATCCGTTTTTTTTTTGCCATAACCCTGCGCATTAAAAAAAGTGGCGCGAAAGGTCCGACTGAATAGAGGTATGAGGCAGCCCCTTCACATGACATGAGGGAGCACCTTATCCCCCCCCCCCCCACCGCATGGCGTGGGGGGCGTCCTTCTTCCTCCCACACCCGTTCGCCCACCTGCGAGAACGAAGCTGACAAAGGTAAGCGCAGGGACGCGGTCACGAAGTGCACGCTGCCTTCGTCAATAAAAGCGACCATTTCTCGGATGGACCGAACAAAGCCGCGGGCCATGGCATGAACGGAAGAGCTGCGCCGCTCAAAATGTTGCAATTCAAGCGGACGTATAACTTCCGTGCATCCGAAAGCGATTGCCTGCAAATTTCGCAAGCCTACATCGGCCGGCTATACCTACAACATGCTAATCCCGATTCCTAACTTCTGGCTTTCAATCTGCCGGTGGTGGCCTTGGCTGCCGCTTCAGTTTTAAACAATAACGAAAGGCTGAGAGGGGTTATGGAAAAATATTATTAAGGCAATTCAAGTTATAATAATAATAATAATAATAATAATAATAATAATAATAATAATAATAATAATAATAATAATAATAATAATAATAATAATAATAATAATAATAATAATAATAATAATATTATTATTATTATTATTATTATTATTATTATTATTATTATTATTATTATTATTATTATTATTATTATTATTATTATTATTATTATTATTATTATTATTATTATTATTATTATTATAGCTGTGGTTTAACGTCCCAAAACCACGATATGATTGTGAGAGACGCCGTAGTGGAAGGCTCCAGAAATTCTGATATCTAGTGTTCTCTGACGTGCACAGACATCACACACTACAAGGGTCTGGACCATTTCGCCTCCATCGAAATAGAACCCCCAGCAGCCGAGCACCACCATAACCACTGCTCCACCGCAGCGGGTGCCAATTAGAGTTCCCTAAAGCCTGTTTGCCGATAACAAATATTTTTTCCCAGAACACAAAAAAACGGTGCTTATCTAATGACGATTAGTTAACGCCTGCGCATCCAGTGCCCCTTTTTGTCTACAAGCATGCATGAAATCTATTAGACAAAGTGAAGGGTTTCAGCCTAGCACGAGCATAAAAAGGAATTGATTGATTAGTGGGGTTCAACGTTCCAAAACCACCATATGATTATGAAAGACGCGATCATAAGAAGAAAGTAACGCACGGGACAAGGCTGGCCTAACAAACGAAGTTTATTGAAGGAAGGTATTCCCTAGAACATTAGAGCACAGTGATTACGTACAGGACGAGCAACGCTGCCTTCCAGCCTGAGTGCGACAACTTCATTCTGAACAACGTAGAGCGGAAACTGTTTCGGAGCTTGGCGCCACGCACGTATGCCAACCGCGTACTTTTTTCCAAAATAAGAGCCACTAAATCTCAGCCAACACACCGCAGCGTGTCACCTGAGAACGACTGGTCTGATCTGCGTCCTCTTCCGTAATGTTTTCAAACAAAACTGCACCGTTCAATGAGAAACCAGTTTTCACAGAAAGCTTCCGTGTTTTGCATATTGTGCGCTCAACACGCAAAAATATTTGATCTCATTGACCATGCTGTTGGTATTCTGCGTTCGTAACCGTTTGCTTTCAGTGAAAAGTACATTCAGCAGAGTGTGCTGCACTGCATAAAAAAACGTCAGCAACAAAAACTCTCGCTGATAAAGCAATACGAGAAAGATATGAAAGCTGATATCGTAGGACATAATACATAATCGTGCAAGTGGTCTCATGACTGTATACCTGCTTGACAGGAAGCCTCGCTCACGGTATAAGAATGACAATGTCTACGTTTGCTTCGAAATAATTAGAAACAGCGTACCATGCCAGAGCTGCAAATGGGGTAGCGCACCTAAAGAAATGAAAGCGTGTCCTCTTGTTTGGTTAATAAATGAGAGCACTTAATGAACGCCTGAAAGACATCAGACAAAACAACACCTGGTGAGATCCCTGCTAAATACTATGACGCAAGAGAGGCGCAGAAAAAACAAATGCCGGCTATGTGTGCTCCACTAACTCCTGTGCACACGTGAACACCACGACCGCTAGGGCCATGTTTCCATTTCAGGAACAAAATCGCAATCGCAGTCCAACGTGAGTGTGTTGAATATCAGCAGTGTTGTCAAAAATCGCAAACAGGTGACCACTTTCACGTCCTCATAATGAACCGCACGCACTTGCTAGCTGCATATAGCGGCAAACTGAGTTGTCACACTGTAAGCTTTCATCTAGCCTCAATGTTTAAACACGAGACTGGGCGACAACTTCATCAAGGCGCAGGTGTGTAATTACGTAGACGACCTTGGCAAGCAGAGGCGGCGCAACCCCCATACAGACGCTGCACTTAATGATCCCTTCTCGGTGACCTCAGACCTGTAATTTCTAGCAGACACTCGCGTCGCATACCTGAAGGCAGCGGAGTTGAGGGGTGCTCAAAGCGCCACTCATCAACTCACACATTGCGTATAATTCGTGTAATTTGGTACGTGGGCGACCAGCACCTTAACGCCGCGACAATCGTCTTAGTTCAAACTTGAGCGTGAGGTCGAGCCCATTGCATGGAGATTCCGTGGCGAGCATTAACCCTCTGCAGTTCTTAAGTTCAAGACTCACTCCTGTGAAATAGCCGTGTGTATCGTGTTCACTGACGTAACAGGGTGCCTATTAAGTCTTAATTTCAGCGTCAGAACTTGCAAGTTTGTATAATACGCGTCAGCACGCAGCTCCTAACGCACTCGCATTATGGCGGAAAACAGCTAGTTCGTGGGTGTTCGTGCTGCTGTAAGCACAAATGTGGAGGAAGCTTAAGGAGAATGTGCGGAACGAGCATGCCAGCTCGCAACTGGTTTTCATTCAGAAACAGAAGAAATAAAACTAACAGCACGAAGCGAAAACACGCTGGTAGGGAGGAGAGGGCATGAGAAACATTTGGATGGCTGAAAGCAAAATAACAGTAATGACTCTATTATCTTAAGCAACGGCATGCCATGCTGCATGTCTTTATCAAACTTTCTCTTCCCTCCTCCCTCATCCTCATCCTTCCTATACCGTTCCCTAATCCGCCAGTGTAGGGTAACCAACCGGATGTCTTCCTAGTTAACCTCCCTGCATTCTCCCTTTCTGTCTGCTTCTTCTTCCTCCTTGATTGACTCCAGAACGCAGGCGCGTAATTTTTTTTCGGAGGGGGGCATTTCGATTTCGGGAGGGGCACACCCTGCAAATGGCCATTTTCGCTCTCTATTCTATTGCGTAAAAGATTTTTTTTTGCGGGGGGGGGGGGGGGAGCCAACCCGGTGTGCCACCCCCGGCTACGTC